ATTACATTTCGTAGTTTCTAATTAAATATTCAAATTTAAATTCATATTATAATTATAATTCAATGTATAAACCTGATAAATGTATGGCATTAATTTTAATTAGTAATATTAATTAAAACCATACAATTTGAGTTTATAAATTTAAACAATTGTATTCATCGTTGTTAGCGCCCAATTGAAATTTTGTATTTTCTAATTCAATATTAAATTTCTAATTTAATGTATAAACCTAATATAACGGTTTTAGTTTAATTCGAAGTATACCGTTAGTCGTATCAGGCCTTTATCTGTGAAATACCGTTATTTTGAATATTCCGTTAGTAGAAAGAGGCCTTTATATTCAACGTTTTCGAGTGTCACTTAGCAGTTCGTCTTCAATTGTCCTCACGGCATATTCGTATTGTTTTTTTTTTTTTTTTGTTTTGTTGATTCATGTGACAAGAAAATATTCATCAGTGACTGTGACTCGCACACACGCGAAATTGTACATTTTAAATGTATTTTACTTATTTTTGCCGTTAATTATTTCGTTCTCCTGTGTAAATCGCATAGGATCCGTTACCTGACATTGAGTGAAGTGAGTATTGGTTAAGTCATTATAGGAATTTATTTTATATTACTGAGTTTTCATAGATTTACATTATTTATATTACATTATTTTTTACATATTTATTTAGTTTTGCCGTCATAAGTTTAGATTATTCCTAAATTATTTATTATATATTATTTTGTATTATACACATTTATTTATTTAATTTATTTATATAGGTAATTATCATTATCATTGCTGTAAATATAATTGTGGGCAATTTAAGCGTCGACAATTGTATAATTTTAGAGTTAAAAAGGTTTTTTCTCTCGGATACATCTATGGTGTAAAATATTACTTATTTAGTTTAAATGCACTCTAAAAAAAATATATATATATATATACATATAGATTCTAAGTATGCAAAATAAAAGTAAAAATATTAATTTAGATATTTATTCAATTTGAAAATAATTGTAAGCTTTGTAACATGTTTACATGTTTCTATTCAAAGCTAACGTAGACTCTATTTAATAATAATAGTTGCCGATTATTATATTTTTTTTAAATAAATTTTCGAATCTCCATAGACCGAAAAGTCCACATTGTATCCCATTTTTGTCAAATTGTAAACAATTTGATCAATTCGATTAAACATATTTTATTAGGTATTAATTTTATTTAAGCACATTTTATTTGTATTTATCTTTTGTTGTACAATAATTCGCATCTTCATTAATCGGAAATATTATTTCTGAAATCATATTAACAGCAATGATAAACTCCTTAGGTGCAAAATACTCGTTTAAAACTTTGGATTTATTATCAATAAGAATAAAACATGTTAATAACCATAATAATAATTAAGTATTAATACTTTATAACTACTCAATATATATATATATATATATTTATTAATAAAATATAAAGTTTAGTTCAATAAAAATGTAGTTTGGTAACGAATAAATTAAGGCATGAATTAATAAATAAACAAAAATTAATAATTCATTTTTCGCGTCATAAATTATCATTGTATCTACAAACATTAATGCATACAATCACAAATCTCTACATCATTGTTTTTATTTTTACGGTCTCTGTTGTTGTAACCCTTGTAGTAGCAGTTGATGTGTCTCAGTCACAATGGTCGATGTTTGTGTGATAATCAGAGGATACAAAATAGTTGTAGTTTTTTCATAAATAGTTAAAAACTCCCCTGTGATACTTAAATTATTATAGCATTTTAAATTAAAAATGTTCATAGTATTTTTCTTGACCAATGAATAAAAAAAAGTGTTGTAAATGTTTATAAATTACTAAATTGTTTTTATTTTATCGAGAGAACACATAAAATACAAAATTGTTTTTTATGATTTGTCTCAGAATATAAATATAAACAACAATACAAAATTTTAATTAATATTACATTTATTACAATTATTTAAAATTCGAATAGTTTATATGAATATTTCGAGATTCATCCAGATAGTATTTTTTATTTTTATTTTTATTGAAAATAACTGTCTCGTCGGCTGGAGCCATTGGCTTTACAAAGAGTATTTGCAAGGGTATTTTAAATTATTATAATTACATTATGGATAAATATACAATATACGGTTTTTTTTTTTTATTCTAGATATTTTTGTGTAGTTCTGTGTCATTGAGGAATTTAATAACATTTATTATACCGGTGTTTAGATTTTCTGCTAAATGGTGGTTCAAGTTGTTTTTCAGCTGTTCTGACTTGTACTTCCTGCATTTAGTTAGAATGTGTTTGATTTTCAGAGGATAGTTGCAAGTTGGACATGTAGGTGGATCTTCTTCATCAAAAAAATATATGTTAGTTTGGTATTTCTTATTCTGAACCTGTTTATGGCCACTTCTTCTTTTCTAGTGAATGTATTGGAAGGATGTGATTTTTAATTTGTCTTAATTTGTTGTTAGATATTTCCTATTCATTTTGCCATATACTAAGGATTTTTTGTTTCATTTTCAGTTTTATGTCGAATATTGTATAGTTATATTTGGCAATAAATTGCATTAGTATATGAAATATTCGACATTATATAGTATTTTTTTATTTCAAGAAAAGGAATCAATTCGTCATTTAATTTGTTGGCCTAATAATTATTTAGATCTTTAGATATTATATAAATCCAATTTTTTTTTTAAATTAGCGATATGTATCATTGTTTAACCATTGCTAACTAAACCCTTTATAATAATAATTTATGTTTTCAAAATGATTGCAATTATTTAAAAATAAATTAAATTATTACCTCTAATCTAAACACTAAGCCTTCATGTCTCTGACTCTAAAAATGTTTAGGCAACACATAGTTGCTGGTTCTTCTCTTATCTGCTATCTAATGCTGACTTAACCGTCTAAAAGTATAGACTTTTTAGCACTACAATATTAAAGGTAAAATTAAATTAAACAATTTTCCTACTAATTAGTTTCACCAATAAAATATGAAAAGAGGCTTACAAACTGCCAAACTGCTTTCCCATCTATAATAATAACACATCAATTAACTGAGCAGGATTGTTTAGTAACCTTTTCAAATAAAAATTGTTTATAACTTAAGTATTTTTATTGCACTCGGGTAACTGGTATAAAAATATTTATGGAGCCTCAAAATAAATACTGCCAGGTCATTTGAACCCTTACCCACTTTCCCATTCTGAACTGCTTGAATTCATTCTTTCCATTTTAAATTTTATGTTAAAAAAAAAAAGTGTGTGTTCGTCAACAAAACAGAGATTACTGAGTAATTTTGACGTTATAAAGCATGACAACTTCATAATGTAACAATAGTTTGTTTCTAAGCGTGACAACACCGTTCAAATGAGCCAACGTGATAACATGTGTGCTCACGTAACGTGACAATTGTCTGTTCCTACATTTACTTGATGAGTTAAGCATTTTGATTTTGATGTGACAGTGTCGAACATATCGGTAAGCTTTAAACTACACAGCCTTATATGTGTATCCTAACTTAATACATTGAGTGAATAATTTCGATTAAAAATGTAAGTTTAATTTTCCTATACAGTTTTATTTTTTAATGAATGTTTGAAACTATCATATTTATTGTTGGCTCAGCATTGAAAATTAATAGACATATTTCTAAAATTAAGATATTTGACTCAATAAAATTCTATGAAAGTTAAAATAAGATGATGAAGATTTAAAATACTCAAACAAATCATTTAATAATAGCAAAAATAATTTCTTAAATAACCAAAAAAAATTAAAATAAACGTAGGCACATAGCGATTAATATGACTTTAATATTATAGGTTAAAAGTACTTAAACATTTTTATTCTAAATTGGAATATACATTATATGATTTAAAAATAAATATTGAATTTTCACATATTTCAAATACATAATGGAATATATACTATAAAAATGTAATACAATACAATAAAAAAGTATTACCCAAAATACCGAAAAATAAGTCACTTATTTTCTGTTAATTAGTAAAAATTAAAATGTAAAAAGCTAAGATAAATTTAATATAAAATTAATTTATATCACTAAAATATTCGATATGAATAAATTGTATTAAAACTAATTAAAAACATGAATAAAAAGCTTTATGAAGCTCCCCAAATGCCCTCAAGATATTACCCAGTTGTAATGAAATTAAAACTAGTGAAAAAAATATTCTAAAACATACAATTATTATATCACATATGAATACATGAAACTAGAGTCTTTGACTTATTATCAATGATAAGGATATAGCTAGGATTTATATGCATTTACATGTTTCTTCTTCAAGTTCTAATTGAGTGGTTTTCAGTATGTCCACGATTTGGCTTTATGTCAATTAAATAGAACCATTTTTACTTTGCATATTTTTGAATATTTTGAAACATAATACATATAATTGCATATTTATAGATTTATGAGAATCTTGTGAATTTTGTTAATTTTTAAACTCATGTTTATTAAATTATTTTTAATTGTTAATTTTAAAGGGTATTTATCCGATGAACGTATATTTTTCGAATCGTCGTAAATATACTTCATATATAATCTTATCTTATCTTAGTCGGACGACCGATATACTTATCTACACATTATTTTAAGACGTATTTATTAGAGGTCTGTACGGGCCAAAAATGTTAGGCTCGGACCGGTTCAGACTTTCTATTAACGTATAACGCTTGTTTTACAGCCGCGCATATGGTTAAAATTATGAATTATGTATCGTCTGCCACGTTTTCTAATTACATTAGTTAAGTTTTCATATACGCCGAACTCGGTGTTTCCGAATTGCCGACAAAGTAATAAAAACCATGCGAGTTGCGGACGAAACCTATGAAATGTAATATAAGAATTGCGGACATAAATACAACATACTAATTGCGAACAAACAACGATTGTGGACGTTCGGAAATTACGTTTGATAATGACAATTGACATTATTAAACTGATAATTTATCAGTGATATTAAGTATGTTTTTCAGTTTAACGACAACCTTACTCGTGTGCGTTTCATATATTTCGTTTTTGTATAAAAATGTACAGTGAAAAACTTACAAGATTTACGCGTGATTGGCGGTATTAAGTTCTGTTTTCACCGCATAATACGTAATGAAATTCAACGATGGACGTGTACAAAAAAAAAATTTATTTTTTTTATAATATGATACAAATTTTATTCAAATAGAAAATAATCTTAAACATAACCACGCGGCCGTTGAAGAACGATTACTTGTACGGCAGAAGATAAGCAATTGTGTAAAGTGCAAAGCGGTAGGGCAACCATGTGAACGTCAGAGCAAAAGAATACATTCTGAGATAACATCAAATGATTTAAATGTATTAGACACGAAGGATACAAATGTAATCCGAAAAAATATTCACACTGTTCGTATGAGTAAGTATCTAAAATTACCTAAAATACTTTTAGAATTTTATAAGATAGTACCCGACGTAGTAGATATACACCAAGGGAGGTGAAAAATGGATTATTGACATTGACAATAGTAAAAATGTTGTGTGCTTCACTACGAAAAAAAATTTAATTTTTTTCAAAAATATGATACTGTTTTGATGAATGGTACTTTTTCAAGCTTTACATCTCTATTTACTCAATTATTCGTGGATCATGGCGTAAAAATAGTATTTATGTACTATTATTTTTTTATCCACAACTAGTGTGTCCAACAAAACTCGTGTCCGCAAATCATGTTTTAATATTGACCTAAATAAATTCGTCCGCAACTGACGAGAGTGCTTATGGGTTTTTTCTATCGGCACATATGAAATTGAATAATGTAAATTAAAAAACGCCACGTGTGAACGTTCGGCTGTGAAACGGGCCTAAAACTTTAACGATATTTTTCAAAGCCCGGCTCGGCCCTAAGGAATGTTTTATCAGTAAAATTTAATTTTTATACAAGTTTTTACATCCCGAAAAAACCCGGCCCGGACCATAATAGTAATAGTAATGTCCCAATTCTTTTTAAAATCATAGGTACTAAAAATTACTATAAAAGTAAAAATAAATAATTGATTAAATAATAACTTTTTATTTGAGGAAATATATGTCCTTACCCCCAACTCCAATTGTTGCCGCCTATGTAAATATAGTAAATATATTATATTTATGATTTATAATGTCCCGCATTTAAAAAAGAAATCTGAAATCCATAGCGTAGGCCTCTCACATGTCTTTCTTATACATATGCATATATGATATGTATAAACGTAGGTATATATTTTTAATCACATTATACCCATTATTCATCATAAAAGTTGTTTCATTTTGTTGTTGTTTTACATATTTTGGATGTTCATTGATTATGTTATTATAATAAAAATATGTAAACCAATTTCAACTTTAAAAGTTTTAATCATTCATAATATATACAAATATTTCAGTAAATAAACTTTCGACCAACTTAAAAGTTTGGAGTCCCCAAAATCTTGGCGCTGGGGACGATTTTGACCATTGCCCCCTCCTTTAAATGTGGTCCTGTATACATAATATTATGCTCTGTGTGAAATCTGATATTGTGTGTTTTACATAATGCACATTTATTTTGGTGTGCTTAAGATCTGAATAATACATTATTGTCAAATCAAACTCATAGTATCTATAATAAAAAGTGATATCATAATATTTTTTTATATAACCCATAAAAATAATTTAAATTTAAATATTAATAAAATAATAATCCATAAACGTTATTTTGAAAGGATGAAAAAATATACGCAATTTTATATAGGTACAATTAGAGAAAATTAACTGAAATTAAAGTTTTCTTATATTTTATACGTTAGGTGTACAACGAACATGTCCAGAAAAACTGACAAAAAGATAGAATTAAAAAATTTTTTATACATTAATATACCGATAAAGATAATAATTTAATACTTAACGTACATAATATTTTGTATTATGCAGTAACACGGTATAGGAAATACTAAAACATTTTGATTGACTTGACACTAATTTTCGAAAAGACTGTATCAAGTATAAAATATTTTCGTGTTTTACAAATTGCAATTTGCCCATAATTGCCTAATTGAAATTCCAATAATATAATAATAAACTAATTTATATGTTAAGATGGATGTTTATATAAAAATGTCGGTGTTTCCTACATTGCGTGCAAAATTATTATTATTATATACAATTATTCATTATTTAGGTCGAATCGTGTGCTTAGTTTTTCACGACAAAGCCGAGTTATATGCATGGTTTATCGCAATTGAGCTGAGTTGCGTTTGTGGTTAGTCAACCTGCAACCGATTATAACTGTACAGTGTCGGATCGGTCAAATTTCGTAGAATAGTCAAACAAATATTGTCAATTTTGATCAAAAATTGTAGTATAAATTCAAAAAACCACAGAAAAAACATGAAGAATAATATTGAGTGCAAATTAATTATTATTACAAAATAATTAACGCAATCAATCAAAAATATTGTGTACTATATCTAATAGATATTTTGATCAAATATTGGAGTTTAAATTCAAAATTTCGGTTATCTATTGTTAATGTAGTAACAAAAGTGGATCAAAGTCAAAAATCCAGTCAAAAAGTTGAAATTAAAAAAATTATATCTATATAAAAAATCAAATGAAACATGAATATTAAGCTGGCAAGTTCTTGTTAGCCAATTTTTTTATGAACTACAAATGCGTTATAATTTTACCTTCAAATTGACGTTAAATTTCTCTCATATAATCTTCTTTTTCTTCTATTTGACGTCGTTCTTGTGTCTTATTTGAGCTACGCATTTCGATGTAAATGTTAGTTTGTATATTTTTCAAAACTTCTAATAATTGGAAAATTTTTGGATAAGTAGAATAGAAAATATTATTCAGTTTTGAATAAAATAATTCACAAGTATTAGTTTTACGCATTAGACTGTTTAAAAACTCATCTCGTTTCGATGGCGAAAATTTAAAGCTTTGTAAAATGTTTTTTTTCTCAAAAAAACTTATATTTAATTGTTGATTATTAATAATTAACGGATTTATATGTATAAAAAATCCTCAAATTATGCTTCTAAAAATACTGTATTATGCTACAAAATTTGCATTTATAATTGAATAGTAGTGTACCGAATGGTGAGTTTGACACGGTGGCATAATGCTAAAATGTAAGGATATTTTATATTAAATTAATAGACTATCAAGAATATTTGTTGCGGCATTTAGATATTTACTAACACTTTTAATTTAATATCAACATAGACAAAGTAAACATAACAAATATAAACTGAGTTGGCTGGATACGTCTGAAGTTGGTGCTTAAACCGGAGCCATTTATGGTTTTTTTTTTTTGTTATGTCTGTTTGATCATGTCCTCGTCGGTTAATTGTATTTTTTTGCCAATTAGTTTTTGCCTTTGCCTTTGATTGATATTTTCGGATAATAAATGCGTTGGTTTGCAATCTGCAGCTTTTCCTTACTGTTGTTTTCATGATTCGCATTTGGCTTCCTTCATGTTACTATTATTTGATTGTTTCACAATTCGTTCGTGGTCAATTTTAATTTTTTACATTTACATTGTGATACAAAGTAACTACCAAATACGTATAAGAAATTTTAATGGTATGTAGTACATTACAGAATCAATAATATTTTATTTTAAATGATTTAAAAATTTTACAAATATTGCAATATAAAATGTAACCATCAAACCATAAATAACTCCTAGTTGGCATTTTTACTTTAAATATTTTAAAATTCAAATGAATAACAAAAAAGAAAAAAAAATCACCAGATATAAAAACTGGGACAGTTTTACACGTAAAAATAATACGCACGAACGTACGACACTGACTGATCGGTTTTCGTAACGAGGTTTGCGTACTCGTCGGCCGAAAAATCGCTGCCGCGCACAACTGATGCGCTCTTTATGAAAGATAACACTTGAAGACTTCTATAGAAGTGTGTATTAATAAATACATTTAACTGCTAGCAGCTATAATTTATGATGGACTTGTATTAATTCTAGTTTTGAATACATTGAAAATATTAGAAAGTATAACGAAATTATAATCACACCGTTTTATAAGTACATCTTATAAAATGTACCAATAAATTTTACATATCGAATTATACGGAATACTAGTAGAGTCACAATAATCCGTACGATAATTTGGAAATGGATCGTTCAAATTACCGATACGTTCGAATAACCTATGACTCAAAAAAATTCAATTTATTTCCAAATCATATTTTGAAATTTATTGTTACCCACACGCAATTGAAAAGTTTAAGAAATATAATTAAGTATATTGTTATTACGTATATATATATATATATATAATTACACACCATTTAAACGTGCATTTAAAATATTGAAGTATTTTTTTCTTGAACAGATGCGTAGACGTAGCCAAAGTAGCAACTGCATACCCCGCCGAATGCTAATGGAAATGATAATTTATATTCTTATTTCTTGGACACTGCTATTATTCTTCGCTTTTGAAACTTTCTTGCATATCCTGAACACTAAGTCTGGCTACTGCCATTGATTACAGTATAAAATTATGGTTATTCTATAATCAACGGGGTTGTAGCAAGAGAGGAGGCTAGAGGAGTCTACGCCCTGGGCGCAATTTCTGGAAGGGTGCAAAAAAGAATTAATTTCAATTTAATTGTTACTTAAAACTTATTACTTATATGTAAAAGTAATATTATGTATTTATATATTTACTTTTATAATTTATAAATATTATTATGTTATACATATAAATCTACTTATAATTATTATGTATATTTATTTTTTAATAATTTATTGATTAAAATAAAATTAACAAACACTTACATAGTTACAAGGAAAAGTTATTATTTATATTGCGTTCATCTAAAATATTCAGTTTTTTGTAATTTTTTTTTAAATCAAAATATTTAATGATGCATTTTGAAGTTTTGTTCCAAGCGTAATTTTTAATTGATAATCAATGATTCTACTATTATTGATTTGTTTCTCTTTTCGTCGTTTCTTAGTTCGCGTTCGTGACACGCGTAATAGTATAGTATAGTGGTCAATTATTATTACTATTACTATACTTATTTGCGGATTTCATGTGAAAGTGAATATATCGATCGAACAAAAAGTCCATCACGTGCTGCCCTCTGTCGGTGACTGTCATGCGAACGCGAACAACCGGTCCCTATCCCACAGTTGTGGTTGCGAGTTCCCACTCCGTCGTTATTCGTTTTTGCACCAACACGTACCATCTCATATTCGGCGCCAGTATGTTGTATACTCTCCGCGCCGTGCACCAACTCTATCGAGAACCATATAAAAATGTGTGTGTGTGTGTGTGTGTGTGTAATATTATTGGAGGGGTCAAGAGTACCTATATACTCGTGTAAAACGTACGCTTACGTACTGATGTATAATATACTCGTATCCTAATAAACAATTATATTATCAAATTTATTTTTCAGAAAATTCAACCAATATAATATGATGTGAATCTTTCTAATACTTCATCCCAAATTGTCCAATTATCGATGTTTGGATATAGAATACCTATATACCAACAATTCCCAAAGTTTTAGCGATACAGCTTGACGTTTTCTCCTACACACCCGTTGCATGAAAATCTAGCGTTACAAACATTTTAGTAACACAAAAATAATGTTACTTAAATAAATATATATACACACTTAATATTAAGCAACAGAAATAGGGAGAATGCCTAGCGCGTGGAACTATTAATGTACTATAAATTATGATTAAATAATCATTACACAATTTATTTGTGCCACCCTATTAAAATATTCAAGATCCGCCCCTGTATACAAACTTACTTAGGGTTGAGCAGTGTCGTTATAATGACTAACGCTAATATTATGTTCAACTAAACTGGTTGTTTCTGTTTATTTTTTTTTAATGATGTCCAGAGATATAAGAATATATAGAAGCGAACTATAATCAAGTCAAGCATACATGAGGGATACATACGACACACACACACACACACACACACACACACACACACACACACACACATATCGATGTATTATTTTAACATAAATACTTCGAATGTTGTTCAAACGTTTTACGTTCTCGATAAATGTTTAATTTAACGGATACGATGGCCGATATGAATTATAAATAATACGTATTTCAAAATGTCCTCTTTCATGAGTAAAGGAGAGTCAAGCATAGAATGTGTTTAAAAAATGTAAATGTAATAGCTTCTCGTACATGCGGTTAATTATCGTAGTAATTTATTTATTTTTAAACAACGCCTTGGTTTAGTTATCAGTTATTCGGTTTCAACATATTTTACTGTTCCTCGATCATTTGTTAATATCGATTTATCCATGTGTTCTATAAAGAATACCGCATTGGTTAATAAATAACATTAATTATGTTTTGTATAAGCATAAGCTGCATGATTATTGTTTGTTAAACGACTAGCAAGATTAGATGTTAATTATTATTCGAAGAAAATAATCCATGTTGAATATTCTAATGACTATTTTACCTAGAACGGCTAAGGGGTATCAGTTGACCCACAGTTGATACTTGCTGATTAAATCAGTTTTTTGGCCTATTTTAAGATCTTGGATAGTTGGACCTCCAGATGGCAGAATACTGATAACTTGAAAAAATAAAAGTCGTATGTATAATATTTATATTCCAAAGATAATAATTTTTCAATTTAAAAATTAAATTTTGTTAGGTATAAAAGAAAAATAGAAAGTTTTGTAAATCAAATGAATTGTTAAGAATAGCTAATAGTTATTAATATCATAAATAAAATGTACTTAGATACTTCTTAGTTTTATGTTATATGGAAAACAACTTTTTCGTTTTAACAATTTTTTACAGATTGCGTTGTTAGTATTGTTAATTAGTAATTCGTAAAAACATTTTTTATACATACTACAGTCCACAATGTTAATGTTTATTTACATTTTTAGAAATTATACACACATAAGTATGAATACATTTTTATTGTATTATGCATATTGTTATTTGTCAAGGCCGGTTTTGTGAAAAATAGTTTGACGTTTATTTATAAATATCGCACAAAAAGATATTGATTATCGATCAGTTTTCTATTATTTATTTTTCCATTCAGTTTGTCGAATTTAACCGTCAGGTAAAACAGTTGCTTTAATAGTATTCAAAATGTTTTACTTGTGTATTTATACATGAGATGTTTGAGATCGTTGAAAACGGACGACTGATAAAAAATGTGAAATGTAAAATCATAAAGTTTTAAAATTATTTTTTATAATTTCAATTGAACTTAGAAAATTATACATAGCATTTATTTATTAACAATTACATATGACGACGTCAAATAAAAATAATTTAAACGTTTTATGAAAGAAAAAAATTTAATTTCTATACTTCACTAGGTTGAAAAAGTTCAAATCTTGCTAATCAATTTTATGGCACTGAGTATTTCGCGCCGATTCGTTTAAGTAATAGAAGAATTGCGTGGATAGTCGGTGATTTATTTAATATATATATAAATAAAATAATACACAAAGATAAATATTTATTGTACAATTTAGCTCCTCTGGTTGAATTTATGGAATAACTAATTATGTGGTGTTGCTCTGTACTTTATTATGAAAAGAACATTTTCCCAATTTTATCATTAACATATTGAAATACCTGTTTTGACTATTGAAAATAAAATTATCAGTATAATGAAATGAATAAAATGTTATACAAATAAATTTTACATGTATGTGAATCCAGTACAAACTACAGCTGGGCTACATTTAAGATCTGTTGTTTCAGATATTATAGAAAAATCTCTAGTAATAAGCTGTCCATAATTTCATTCTCTAGTGTTTGAGGGGCAACTATATCATTGTTTTGATACTGATTTAAAGATAAATGAGTATTGTGTGTAATGTATTAGTTTAAATACTTTTTAAATCTGAAATATTTTTAAAAATGTATCAACAACATAAAACAGTGTTGGTTATATCAAATATAAAACTGAGTACAGGTAATAATTAGTTATTAAATAAATTAGTATTATATAAAGTGAGTTGGATTTAAAGTAGCTCAATTTGGATATTAAAATTTAAACTATTTTTCTAATTTTGAAATACATTTTTATCATTGGTACAATGATTTCAGGACAAAAATATGTACCATTTAATTATTTTTGTGTTAAAATTTAAATGACTTAAATAAATTAGTAATTTATCACTACTTTTTGAAGAATACTTTTCAATTTAAAAAAACTCTATTTAACGAAAAATAAACAATAATTAATGTTTGATTACACTATTTACTACACTAGTACCTACTTAATTTTATTGTTAGTATACCTTCTGAATGTCTTCCAACAAGGCGAGAAAAAGATCAAGACTATCTTGATTTACCGTCAATTAACTAGCAAAAGTAATCAGGATGAAACTACAAATAATGAAGAGAAACTCTTCTCATTTTCTTCAATAATTTCATTTTCGCGTCCAACCATGACTCTCAATGCTTTGAGTGTGGGCTCCTGTATTTTCATCTACATATGAGATTTGATGATTTACCGTTTTATGAAAAAAACCTCGGCTTGTAAGACACCTATATGCAGTCTATTCATCAGAATGCATATCTGATCCTGCCTTTGATATTGCGTCGCGACAGTTCCGCCAGCGCACGTACATCGGTACGGTAACTTCAACAACCGTGATAACCAGCCACAGGCCAATGGACCGGTGATACGTGTTCCGGCGGTCCCACTCGTCCGTGCAGCGCTCGAAAAGGGTCATAGCCTGGTGCAGGGCCGTGGGTGCGGTGCATTTGTCCGTGACACTGGTGCCATTGGCGACTGGACATGGCGGCATACCGAACATTAGGATTTTATGGTTGCGCGTCCATTGGACGGCGCTCAGGCACCGGCAACGGGACTCGAGTAGTCGGAACAGCGCGGTGCAGCCTATCACGTTGAGCCAGTACAGCCGGCACGTAGCCACCAAAGCAACCGGGTCCAGGTCATTCAGCAGCTCGTTGCCGGATACGTCCAGCGCCGGGTACATGGCCAGGCCACAGCGGCTCAGCACCTGCAGTCCGACAGCGCGTGACAGCTGGTCCATGCTCTTTATCGGGTTCTTATTCAGGTTCAGATGCACCAGCGACTTGGGCAATCCGGCCGGCACCTCGTGCACCACGTTGTCCGATAGCAGCAGCTTATTGATCTTAGAGTACATGACGAAGTTGCCGTTGTTCAGCTTGGCGATGCGATTGTTCTGCAATTTCAAAATAAAAAAAAAAAAAAAAACACGACGAGAACGTTATTTCAATTGCACTGCGCACTGTTTACTTGTTCACATTATTATCCTATTGCATTCAAACGTAACACAAAAAAAATACACTTTTTGTCTAAGTATACGTGCCGGGGATCGAAATTGGCGGAAGGCCGTGGGTTGTGCGACAGGAGTTTTATCGATTTACGAATTTACGACGTGCGTTTGATAAATATAGGCGATTAAGAAAACAACGTGTTGCGGTATGTCGCTGGGTCTACATACATCGCCACGAATTTCACAACTATTTTTTTATTTTAAATATTAATGTATATATAACTTATCGATATGATAACATGTAATATTAAGTAATATTTAATCAGAACCAATTGATATAAATATTAATAACGAATTAGAAATACGATATAATGTAATGAAATTAAAGGGGTGTTCGTAATAAAAGAACCGCCGATCACATACATATACATCGAATAGTATATGTTGTATATTGTTAAATTAATATTTTACATTTCTGGTTCTTTTTCGTAATATTTAACAAACTATTTTTATATCGGCAGCAAAATGCTTTACGGGGAATCTAGCACAAATGTATATACTTATCATGTTATTTAAAAATAATGGACATTTATCGAGCATTATTTTTGGCTCGATTCCATAATAAACGAAGAAATATTTTTTAGTGAAATATAAAACATAAGTGTAGCAGATGCCCAATTTGTTCCAAAAATATTAATAAGAAACGCATGTATTGTTCAGTTTTTCCAGTCGAATTGTTTACTTAAAATTACTTTGGCAAAACAGTATGAATAGATCTGCTTTGATAGCATTTATACGAGAAAGAAAATCGACAACTAGCATTAATTTTATTCAAATGGCTGTGGTACGTGAATTTATTGAATATCAATTAAATATCAATCATCCAATTTAGATGTAAATTATTATGTCTATCAAAACAAACAATTATAACTATAACTATTATAACAAACCTGAACTTCTGTCATTATGTTGTTGTCAGGTATTGTTTTAAGTTTTTGCCCGTTGGCACCGTGGCAATTAGCAATGAGCAATTTATTTTTTTTGGAATTTTCGCATCTTACTACAATACTGCTTGTATTGCTGGTACCTCAGCTTCGAAAAATAAAAACAAACCAACAAACACTGAATTACAGATCCTATTATTTCGTCGTGTCCTCGAAATGGAAGTCCACGTGAAACTAATTTTTTAACAATCACTACAATTCTAGTCAAGACACTTCTCCAATATATTTTTTCTTTGTTTACTTGCTCCATTAATTTTGAATCGATACGTTGTATTACATTACGTCTATCCATAAGTTTAACAACACAAGTTTTATGACATGAAGAATTTTCATGCTCTTTTAATCGCAGAGATGCAGATCTCCAGTCATTATACCCTTCAGAGATTATTGATGATTTGTCCATTTAAATGTTTTCTCTCAAACATATTTTTCGTTAATAAACGTTGTTCCCCATCATTATACATACGCAGCATACGCAGCAATTTAGAAAAATCAATGTTTTTATTTTGTTCAAAACCATTAACAGCAAAATAGTCTCGGAGATCATCATTTATAATCCACATTGACGGATCGTTAGAATAAAAAATTGGTAATGATTCGAAAAATTTAATTATTTAATCTTGGGGGGAGGTAAAGACTGACAATGAATGGCAGAAGAAGTAAAAGGTACAGATTCTAGGTTTTTATTTTCTAATATTTGTTTTTTAGGTGAATTAATAATATTCGATTCATTAGTCATGTTTGGTTGGGGTAAATTAGAAATAGATACCTGTTGTTCCTCATTTTCTTTTATTGGTTTAAAATTTACATCAACATTTTGGATCCGATTAAGAACATTAGTTAATTTTTCAGCTTTTTCTTTTGATTTCTTTTTATACTTTTTACACTTCACTTTTTTCTGTTCATATTAACACCACTGTTAACACCAATTTCGTCACTATAAATAATTCACGTGCGTACCTATAAAATATGTATAAACAGTTAACACCACTGTTGTCACTAAATAAATCACGCGGACCGCGGACGTATACTCTTTGGTGAAAGACAACTATCGACTAATTCATAATAACTTCATAATAATTCATTATAAACGGTTAAATATAAGAACAAGGTTGTCAAATATCGTTATATTATTTATAATAAAACGATAACACACCACTCTTCGTCTAACTAACCACTGATTTAATAATAAGATATGGGAAATATATATTTACGCAGTGAACCTTGTACCGATAACGATTTTTATAAAGCGAAGTTACTCCAAACGAGTACTCCAATATTCATATACATCTATTTTTTTTTTTTAATTATAGTATTACGAGACATTTCATAAACAATAAGATAAGCTATAATAAAATACAACCGTCGTTGTCGTAGATGAGTTCCTGGGGAAATAAAAATATTATTTGGCTAAAAATAAACGAACACAAAACCCACAATTCAAAGATTTTGAAGTGATAGATAAAATTTAAAAAAAATATGTACCTATTATTGATATTTTGATATTTTCTAAGATTCTGAAAATTATTCTGAGTAAACCAAAAGTCAATGGATTTGGCTACGCAAAGTCACATTGCAGTAACCCACGGACCACAATCAAAATCATTCGTTTGAACGGGACACTCACCATTCACGACCACCAATTCCGTATGCTCTTCCAGAATGCTATTTCTAGCCTCCATGAATTATTTAATGACTTGCCCTATATGCTTAATACTATTTCCTTTCAGACTGTTTTAGGTGACAATACGACCAGTATTCATGTAAACCGACACCAGTATGTAGTGTTTGTCCAAAATTATTGGAATTAATAATAAGGTGTAGCATGCTTTTAGTCATTTTAACCATTTGTATAATTGGATCTAGAAAATCCAGTCTTTTCACATGGCCAATTATATGTGGCGTGTTCTCGCCAGTGGCGTAATTCGGAAAAAATATCAGGGGTTGCAAAAGTTACTCGGAATGCGCAAACCCGTGGGAGCTTGAGATGTTTGCATTTTATCAACTGTACATAAATAATTACATTTCAAGAAAATAATATGTAAAAAAATTATTAATGAAATATTAAGAAAAATTATTTAAAATTAAAATGTATTTTATTTTTAAAAATTACAAAAGTAACATTATTTTAAGTTTCCACATTATGTACAATATCTTCATAATTAAGATTTGATAATATATGTTTTTTTAAACCATGAGCATGAAATATTCTAAATACTTTTGTGCTAATGAATTTCTTAAATAATTTTTTGTATTGAAAATTAACGTTCGGAAGAAATATGCATAGTTAAAATTAATTCGTATCATAAAAATAACCAATGATAAGCCCACTAAACAAATTATAATGAACTATTAATTTGTCGCAACAATAATTAATTATTTCTTTCACCATGACATTTATTATTTGATTCACATTTTTCATATTGAATATTTTTAATTACATTTTGCCATTTAGAACGAAAATCTTTTAATTAAGTTTAATGATCATTTAATGTTAATGTAGACAAAAACTGTGAAATTATTCCAAATACTCGTTTTAAAACAATTGGTGGTATTTAAACTGATTGAATTACAAATTTGAAGATAGCAAATATACAACGACGGGCATGTGTGCTTCACATCGGAGACGTATCCAAATGCACTAGGTATGTGCATTTCAGTGACCTGGCTCCGACACCGACAGACGTTGTGTACAACCATAATTACACAGCTGGTGCTGTGATTGAACAACAACCGGCGAATTTAGGATTTTAGGTTATACGTTTTCGTGTTTTTATAATCTAAGAAAACCACTTTCGCCCTACAAAAACATATTTAATAATTTTCTCGAATTCCGGGGGAGGTTTTGAACCCCCCATCCTTCCCCCATGTACCGTTTGCCATCACTCGGCGGCCAACAACAGGTTAACAACACTGTTAAGTGCTAATGAGTTGTTGCACAGCCGGACGACGCGCGTTGTTGTATTACCGGCGCTTGGGGCGGACAGCAAAACGTTTTGGAAAACAGAATTCGGACGGTGCGCAACGTAACGCATGAATATAGCACTGCCTCGAATGCGCTAGTGATAATCGGCCGGTGTGATTGTGTCCCGCGCCGCCGACGGCCAACAATAAAAATAACAATACACACCATAACAGGTACATTTTACATTGTAATACGGACGTAAATCGACAATACACTTGTGGCGGACACACTGCCACATATTCCTTCACCACGCTCGACGCCGCCGGATTGGTCACACTGCCTGATCCCAGCACGACCGTCCAACGCGACACGGCCGTTTACGCGCGCCGAGCTCTCTCTCTCGTTTTCTCTTTTTTCAGCGTTCGTGACCCGGACAATAGGATCGCCGTCTCGTTTCATGACTTGAGTACACGGCTGTTTTTCTCGACGGACAACGCGAAAGGAAAAAAAAAATTATGTACAAACGAAATTGTTTTGTGACGCTGATCGCGATGTACGTCACGTCGATGATGGTCACCGCTGAGTCGCCGACTGGTGTGTACGTAGATACTGGTGTCCAGACAGTTAAGCAAGATATAATGTCTATCGAAGAACGGAACGAGGTCGAACAGGAAATATTGACCATGTTTGGTGTGCCTAAAAAACCGAG